GTCCTTCTCGTCTTTCAATGTGAACTGAACTGAGCAAGGTTGAAATGATCTCTGAAGAAACTAAGGCTGAAGTGTTTGGGTACAAAACAAAGGCATTGTCAACATATCTCAGCCAGGAGATATCACAGGAAATAATATCCTTTAACTAGTCTCTTCAAACATAGCATCTGATTCTGTGAGAACAATCATACAGTTAGCTTAGCAATTTTTCTAAGTTAAATCCTGAATGTTACCAAAAAGGGAAAGAGGATTTTACAATATGAAATGTTTAAGTACTGGTTGGGCTTTGAGTATATCTCTGGTACTATAACATCTTGTGATATGGCACTTGGTGTACATATCCCTGTTCTCTCCAGTAATAATTGCATTGTAGACTGTTGCAAGTTTGACAGATAGGTAAAATGGTAGTAGATACTGTCCAATGGTAGTAGATAGCTGTCCAAACATAGATCTATGTTCTCTCGCCCAGCACTCTGAATATTTTGAAAAAAAAAAAATTAAATAAAGAGGGCATTTTTTGACATCTAATAGGATAAAAAAAAATTAGGGTCAGTACTTACCGAGATATAAGACCGTGAAGTTGGTGCTGGATGCTCACCTGATGGCAATGTGGAGTCCTTCTGCTTGCAGAAGTGTTGCAGATATACCTTTCTTTCTCGTTTTTTAATTTATATAATTTTTATGTTTTGATAATTACAATTTGTAGTAGTTCTTGTGATTTCAGAGCCAATCTTTGTTCTGACACTAATATTAGGTACTGAAATAGTACTCAAATTGTCACAAACACACTGACAGGTGAACATTGTCACCTGTCTTGGTCATGTACTATTGTCTAGACATATATACAAAGTATTTATAGGTCCCAGCAATGTTTTGAACATGCTGGAGTATATATATGAAACCCCTTGAAACACAGTGCAAGATGAGTGTCATTCCACTACTGACAGTGCAGCAGTGGAGTGACACTTGATTGTGCACTGCCTTGGCTTTGTTTGTTTTCACTGTTACACATAAACATGTCTGTCTATCTGTTTGTCTGTCTGTCTGTCCATTTATCTGTCTAGCTCTGTCTCTGCTCATCAGTCTTTCTGCCTGCTTGTGTGTCTGTCTTCCTGTCTCTCTTTCTTTCTCAGAGAGAGAGCTGCTCATGAACCAATAGGTATTACACACGATGCAGAGTCATCACGTCTGATTCCTGATCACTTGAAAATGCATGTTACTTGCCAAGTCATGCTTATTATGCCATATATCTACTAGCACAGTGCAGCACTTTGTCTGGATTTTTTGGGGGTTATCCAAAGTAATTTACACTATGTATAATAACTGAATTTATGTGTACCTGTGAGATAGAGACAGAGATAGATAAAGACAGACAGACTGAGACAGAGACAGTCAAAGTCAAACAGCCACTCACCCACCCACCCACCCAGGCAGCCAGCCGGCCATCCAGCCTGCCAAATACATATTACACACATTCCAGAATTGTTTCTCTTTACTTAGGCCATAGGTTATAGGACATTCTGGCAAGATGACACTACCAGTGGTATCAAAATTGAAATTATGTTGCACAAATGTTGCACATGGGTTATTATCGAGGTTTTTTTATATTTCCTCAACCACTTGTGGCCACATCCATCTCAAAGCCACTAAACTCTGGGTCAACATCACCTTCCTCTTAACCCTTAAACGGTCCAAACGTATATATACATTCTCTCGCGTAGTGCCCCAAACATATATATACGTTTCATTTGTCATTCATTCAACATTGGCACGATAGGCCTAAGTCGCCTCGACATGAGAGAATGGGTGTCCGCCATATGAAAAAATTTGGGGATGCCTGGGTACCACATGCTCTTTTTTACAATAAAAAATGATTTTTTTTCTCAAAATATTCAGGGCACTGCTCAGGTGAACGTATATATAAATCTGGACCGTTTAAGGGTTAAAAGGGAAGTGTTAATACGACATGATGTCAGTAAATCCCTGGTGTCTGCCATGCTGTTTGCTCTAGCTGACACTCAATTGAACTGGTGCTCCCAGAAGATCCTAAGTGGTCCCAGATTTTTTTTTAATACTGCACACACCGAGTGTCATGTCCCATTCTATACTGACCAGGCATCACAGGCCAATCGTGCTAAATTTGGAGGCAGAAAAAATAAAACATTGATCAACATTTGGAGTGCTAGTGGTAACAACACAGATCTACATAATGAACTGGTTGTGGATAGACAGATAGATAGGCATACTAGTTGTAGATACATGGATAGTTGTACTGGTTATAGATCGATTAATAGACTTGAAAGGCAATATGGGAAATGACTATTAAAATATTTTTCAGCTATTAATCTTTAACCCTTTCATAGTTTCCGATGTACTTTTACGGCTTACGCACCAGGGATATTGACGTACTAGTATGCCTAAATTCTAGCACCTTCAAATCTAGCAAGAGAAAGCTGGTAGGCCTACATATGAAAGAACGGGTCTATGTGGTCAGTGTGCACAGTATAAAAAAAATCCTGCAACACACAGTGCGTAATGAGAAAAAAAAACTTTGACCGTGTTTTTGGTTTAAAACAGCGACTTTGTACTGTATTTTCGTATGGTATTTATGGTTATATTCTAGTTTTCTTGGTCTCATTTTATAGAATAGAAGACATATTACAGAAATTGAGATGATTTTGATTGGTTTCACAATGAAAAGTACCTTGAAATTGAGCTCAAAGTAGCAGAAATGTTCGATTTTTGCCAAAGTTCAAAAGTAAACAAATCATGCCACGCGTCCAATACACGTCAAATGGTGAGTATAATATTCTTTCACAAGTGCGCTGATATTATTTATACAGTTTCTACACTAATGCAGTAGTCTGCATAACAGTAAATCTTCTATTTTTTGTGAGAATAAAAATTCAAAGTGGAAAGCAAAAGAAATGTAAGAGGGGCCTTGGGATGTGACTAATGAACAGAGGAAATGTTATTTTAGTGCCAGGAATGTCTGTCTTGTTTATTCTGGACCCTATTTGGAAATTGGCATCTTTTGAAATTTGCGTGAAATTGGCAAAATTGCTAATTTCTGGGTGGTTTCTTGTACTCATTCGATAAAAAAAATTGAAGTTCTAGCGAAATAATTATGATTTTTGTTGACTAGTACAGCGGAATTGGCCAAAAATAGGGCTCAAAGTGGGTGAAATCGTCAATGCGTAAACATCGTCGAGACTGCTAACTTTGCAAGAGCACAAGAAAAGATTCTCTATCTTTTCATAAGAAAAATAATTTTTTTTTTTTCCGAAAAATTTTCAACCCTGAGAACAAGTTTAGGAGAGGGCCTCTCAACCCTGAAAGGGTTAATAAAAAGTAACAGAGTGGGATTAAGAAATGTAAAACAATGCAACTGAAAAATACAAAAATGTCTTAAAGTAAAAAATTTAAGAACAACTGTTTAGTATGAAGTTAAGAAAAAAGTTAAACTACAGGAGGCCTGGTCACAGACCAGGCCGCGGGGGCGTTGACCCCCGAAACTCTCTCCAGGTAAACTCTCCAGGTAAACAGTGGACCCCCAAGTTTCGTGATTAATCCATTCCAGAGAGTCTGCCGACTGGCGAAATTCACATTTGGCGAATCCATTTTCCCTACAAGAAATAATGGAAACCCAATTAATCCGGTGGGAGACGGCCGACTTGTTGAAAAAAAAAAAAAAAATGACAAATATAAAGCACTAATAAAATGAATGAATGAACATTTAACATCACACTTAACCTTTATTCATTCTTGTTGGTGTAGAAGGTAGGTAGGAGGCAAGAGGAAGGTGAGTTTATTATGCTTCAACATGACGCTAATATCGTCCCTAAGCCTTATTTATTTATCACAATTCATCTAATATAACATTATAAACAATATTAATAATATAGAAACATGATATATACTCTAGAATGAATAAAATATGTCATAATGTATGAGAGGAGTAAATGGTGTAAGTATTATTGTTGGGTTTAAGGGCCGCCACTGAGAGAAGCCATGTTGGTGGCGGTGGAGGCTTTGGCCACCACCACCATCACACCTAAACAACGTATGTAATTTATAAGAAATATTTACATTTTAATTTATAAATAAGTTTATTCAGGTATATACAAATACAGTTACATACATAGATTATCATACATATCAGCATATGTATAAAGTACCCAGGATAACCCAAAAAATTCAAGAGTGACCTATTTCCATTGGTGTCCTTTTATATTTACACTTATATTTACTTTTATACTTACACTTTTATATTTACACTTACCTTGGAGATGTAAGTTTAATTAGTTAGTTTGATGAAGGAGATGTTGGCAGAGGTTTAGGGCGGTGGAAGATAGCAGGGCAGTGTATGTTCAGCGGTGTATGTCCAACAACATTGGAGAGTTACTCTCATGTTGTTTATCTCTTACTCGCTTAACTTACTTGCTAAACTGTTAATTCTACACTTTATAGCTGGCTGGAGCTATAGCCTTTATCGATACCTGCTGCTTTAGTATCGTACATATTGTAGAATCACTGAATTACTGCAGAAGGCACATTCTCCCCTCTCTCTTCCTCCTCTACTTTAGTACTTTGCTATGAGTTTTTTCTTGAATTCTATCGTGTATCTCATCTTCTTTACCAAAGAGCTGGCACTAGGAGCTTTCTTTGGGCCCATGGTGGCTTATTTAGCAGTTGCAAGCACAAAAAACAATGAATTATTAAGAAATGTTTTGTATGAACCCATGGGGTGATGGTCACGTGCTGGTAAACAATGGCACACTGAGTGTGAATAGTGTGGGAGACTGGCTTTGTGTGCGCGCTGATGGGCAGACACATACCAGAAGGTCACCAAATCATGAGTCCAATCACGAACCACAAAGCTAAATTTTGCCGAAAAAACTTGCCGAAAATCGGATTTCACGAAAGTTGCGGCCGCCGAATGGCTGGGATCCACTGTAATTATTATTCAAGAAAATTAAGGCAACACAAGCTATACTCACCTTTATTTTAATAATCTGTAGCTCAAGTGCCACCAGGAAGCCGAGTGTACCATGTGACCACGGCAGAGTATAATAAAGGTCACTGTATTCATTATCTCGGGTTACTCTCACTAGCATGCCATCTGCCAGCACCATCTCATATGCCACTATGGTCTCCTGATAAAGTCCTACCTGTACATATAAACATCAATGCAAACCCATTACACCATCTCAATATAAACACTGCAGAAAATTTTCCTACACATGCTCCAACCTCCAATTAAGCAGTTACTATCGAGCATTTAAGCTAATATTTTGAATCGTGATATACCCAAGACCAGTTTTGAGCTTTTATTCCCACAGCCCAGCCCTGAGTGGAGTTGGGGTGAGAGTTTAACTCAAAATACAAAGATGGGATAAATGGTATAAAATACCAACAAGATGGAAAAAAAAATTAAATACAGTACAATGTGATCTTTTACTGACAATATTTCACCCACACAGTGAGCTTGATCAAGCTGCAAAGAGATATGTGTTACCATACAGCCTAGTGTGTGGCCATTATCATTTCTACATGGTATGTGAAATACATATCTTTTAGACAAGGTAAATAACAAGCAATTTATCAATCTAAAAAATACCTGTTGCCCTTAAAATTAGAAAGCTGCTTTTGCATTATGAATTGTACAAAAATGGATGCAAATGGGAGATACAGTAGTAGTTACCATTCAATAAAGTCTCAGTATTTGCAAGTATTTCATTTTGAAACACAGCCTTTCCTCACTTAGCGACGCACTCCTTTACCGACAACTCGGACTTATGACGGGCTCTATGACCAATATACATACCTAAATGTAATACATATTAGAGATGATTTCCTCTATTCTGTTTATTACAATACACAGTACACTACTGTATAAACATTTAAAAATATACTAAAAATGTTATAAATGGTGCAAGGGTGACATTAAAGCAGTATCAAAGATAAGATGGTTGACATAAACCCACTACCATTATAGTATGCTCCTCGTCTAGCGACGTACGTATTAGGAACAGAACTCTATCGTTAAGTGAGGAGAGGCTGTATACTTAACTGAAATACAGTAGTTAAAAAATCTATAAATGCTTACTTTGTGTGAATATGTGGTCATACCTACGCCCATGGCAAGGCCCCCTAAGGTTGCTTCAGCAACTTCAAGACACACAGCCAGAGTGTAGCCCCGAGGAACTAAGAAGGCAGTGGCCTGACCCACGCTCACCATGGGTTCTACTCGGATAGTCATGTGGGATGGCTTTAATTCTAAGATGTCATATAGGGGAATGGTGATCCTGTGGCACAACTCCTGTAAGGTAAAACGACACCTAACAATATCACAAGACACTGAAACTTTAAATAACAATGCAGGTAAAAATGTACATTACTCTAAAGGAAAGGCAATGTTGCAGTTTGCTGGATCATCTGACCTGTGTCGTCAGCATGCTTCTGGAAAGACAGCAATTGAGTGAATGACAATGACGATATCTCCTCTTTTTTGGATAACCCTATCTTGATGGAAGACTGCCAGTGTTAAGAAAAAATAGGTAAAATGTGCATTAACCCCTTGACTGTCACAACCCCAAATCCTGAGGTGTCTCCAGGTGTCTGTTGCAAAACTTCAAAAAAAAAAAAAAATTATTTTTTTCTTATGAAATAATAAGAGAATCTTTTCCTGATTGTAATGGCACCAAAAGAACAAAATTTGATGAAAAACTAACGTAATTATGCTCTTGCAAAGTTAGCGACCTCGGCAATATTTACGAATCGGCGATTTCGCCCACTTTGAGCCCTATTTTCGGCTAATTCCTTTGTTCCATTCGACCAAACTCATAGCTATTTCTTTAGAACTCCATTTTTTCTATCGATTGAGTACAAGAAGCTGCCCATTTACTGATTTCAACTACCCAATAACATGGTCAGAAATTTGCAATTTGGCCAATTTCACGAAAATTTAAAAATATGACAATTTCAAAATAGGGTCCAGAATGAACAATGCAGACATTCCTGGCTCTAATATAACATTTTCTCTGTCCATCAGTCACATCTCCAGGTCCCTCAGATATCACTCTTTCTATTTCGAATTTTTATTCAAACAAAAAATAGAAGATTTACTGTTATGCAGACTACTGCAATATTGTAATAATTGTATAAATAATGTCAACCCATTCATGACTACATATTAGAATGGCTACTTGGACATTTATTGGAAAATGACATCATTTGTTTACTTTTGAACATTGGCAAAAATCAAATATTTCCCCTAGTCTGAGCTCCATTTCAAGGTTCTTTTCATAGTAAAACCAATCAAAATCACCTCTATTTCTATACTATGTTTTCCATTCTATCAAATGAGACCAAGAAAATGAGAATACAACCATAAATACTATATGAAAACTGACCACAAAGTCGGCATTTTAATTAAAAAAAAAGTCGGAGTTTCTTTTTTCTCATTATGCACTGCGTGCTGCAGGATTTTTTTTTATATAGTGCACGCTGACTACACAGACCCATTCTCTCACATGTGGGCCTACCAGCTTTCTCCTGCTTGATTTGAAGCCGCTAGAATTTATGAGTATATACACCTACCATCCAACTTACGACCTGCTCGGCATACGACCACTCTACTTACGACCATGTTTTGTATGCCAAATTTCTGGGGAATAAACAACTGTTTGTGATGTACACAGTGTTTATCCTAAACCTTACAGTATAAAACACAGTACATGTACTAACAGCATAAAAAGTAATGTACGAAATGAAATAAAACAATAAAATAATAAAACAATAAAATAATAAAACAATAAAACAATAAAATAAAGTCATTACAAAAATGTGATGTTGATATTCAGTAGTAAGGTTCGACTAACGTCCATTTTGACTTACAACCAGTTGGTCAGAACCAAGCTCTGTCGTAAGTCGGATGGTAGGTGTATACGTCAAAAACGGTGGCTCGTAAGACGCATATATACGACCAAAACAGTCAAAGGGTTAAACAGTTGCCCTTAATGTTATTCAGTATATGAGGTCTGGTCTGAGATGAGGCTTGGAGATAGCAGCTATGCTTCCATAACAACTAAGAGATACAGATGCTGCATACATAAAGCCACTACTGCAAGAGGGGTACAGTAACCACCCTCCCCCTGACATAACATTCCTTTATTCACCTGAGGTTGTGTATAATCTGCAGCCTTCCACATGTGTTCAACCTATATAAGTTGCATCCTGTAACTAGCATTGATTATCATTATGCATCATTCATGCTTTTTCACTTCTATCATATGTTAACTAAGACAACTTGCAACATTCCAAATATTCAAATTTATATGAATAGTTAAATGGCATTTGTTTAATTTATAAGATAATGCATGTAATTATTTAGTGGAGCCTGAGAGACATGCTGCATTACAGCTCTGAGACAATGCTATCATAATGTATGCAATGCTGAACAGCTGTGATATAACACAAAGGTCTCCAATAACGAAGAAAATGCACAAAATGAAGAACAAACTAATATTACTATAAGACTAGTCTTCGACTTGGGCAACTGATGCTGACAGGAAGTTTAACCCTTTCAGGGTCGAGAGGCCCTCTCCTAAACTTGTTCTCAGGGTTGAAAATTTTTCGAAAAAAAAAAAATCACTTTTTCTTATGAAATGATAGAGAATCTTTTTCCGATCATAATGACACCAAAAGTATGAAATTTGATGGAAAACTTACGGAATTGTGCTCTTGCAAAATTAGCGGTCTCGATGTTTACGCATCGGCGATTTCGCCCACTTTGAGCCCTATTTTCAGCCAATTCCAGTGTACTAGTCGACAAAAATCATAACTATTTTGCTAGAACTCCATTTTTTCTATTGAGTACAAGAACCCACCCATTTACCGATTTCAACTATCCAATAAAGTGGTCAGAAATTGGCAATTTTGCAAATTTCACACAAATTTCCCAATAGGGTCCAGAATAAACAAGACAGACATTCCTGGCACTAAAATAACATTTCCTCTGTTCATTAGTCACGTCCCCAGGCCCCTCTTACATTTCTTTTGCTTTCCACTTTGAATTTTTAGTCTCACATAAAAATAGAAGATTTACTGTTATGCAGACTACTGCATTAGTGTAGAAATGGTATAAATAATATCAGTGCACCTGTGAAAGAATATTATACTCACCAGTTGACGTGTATTGGACGCGTGGCATGATTTGTTTACTTTTGAACTTTGGCAAAAATCGAACATTTCTGCTACTTTGAGCTCAATTTTTTTTTTTTTTTTTTTTTTTCCAATTTGAGCACACATAAGGAGGTACAAAAAAATACAGATAAGAGCAGCATGCCAAAGCCACTTATACTATGCATAGCATTACGGGCTGGCTTAAAATTAACTTAAGATTAACTAAGCAATGATGAAATCAGTGATAAAACATTAATGTAAACAGATTACTATAAAGCACAAGTGAGTATTACAAAGACAGGTCATATGGTTGCATTCAGTTAGGTAGTGATTCTGTTAGGTAGTGTATTTAAAAAATAATAAAGTTAGATTGGGTTTTAGGTTTAACATTTATGTGATATAATTGTGAGAAACATTTAAGATATACAATTTATAAGGTTCAGTTATTCAGTATTTATTTGGTTTTGGGTGAGTAAGTGATCTTTGAGAAGAGACTTGAATTTATAAACAGGTAGTGTTTCTTTTATATTTACAGGTAATGAATTCAAGGTACTTTTCATTGTGAAACCAATCAAAATCATCTCAATTTCTGTAATATGTCTTCCATTCCATAAAATGAGATCAGGAAAACTAGAATATAACCATAAATACCATACGAAAATACAGTACAAAGTTGCTGTTTTAAACCAAAAAAAATGGTCAAAGTTTTTTTTCTTATTACGCACTGTGTGTTGCAGGATTTTTTTTATACTGTGCACACTGACCACATAGACCCGTTCTTTCATAAGTAGGCCTACCAGCTTTCTCTCGCTAGATTTGAAGGCACTAGAATTTACGCATACTAGTACGTCTATAACCCTGGTGCATAAGACATACTAATACGTCAGAGACCCTGAAAGGGTTAAAAAGTCATCTAAGCAAATACATGTACATACTGGGTTCTATTGTTAAGTTAAGGTTTTAGGCAATCGAGAGAGTGTCCTCTGACCCCATAATGTTCGAGTTTTTGGTGCAAAAGGCCATGGCCAACTGTATCAAAAGCTTTTCCTAAATCTATGAAAAGTCCCAGGGAAAATTCATTTTTCTCGAGTGCAGAATATATTAGTTCAAGCATATGCATAATAGCATCATTAGTACTTTTTTTCAGTCTGAGCCCAAACTGATGAGGGTTAAGTATGTTGTGGGATACAAAGTAGGAGTAGACTTGTTTGTGAGTTAATTTTTCGAAGATTTTGGATAGTAAGGGCATGTTTGATATAGGCCTATAATTGTTCAATTCAGTTGGATCACCTCCTCTGAGGATTGGGGCAACTCTTGCTGTCTTGAGTATGGTTGGGAAGGTGGAAGCTTCAATGGATTCGTTAAAAAGAGTTGCAATAATTGGTGGCAATACATGAGAATTTTTTTTATACATGAGTGGTGATAAGTTATTTAGGTCTCCTGTCTTGTTCTTTAGTGTTTTAATAAGCGAGATTTCAGTAGGGTTTGTTGGGGCTAAAATTAGAGTATTTGAGAAAAAGGCATTAAGTTTGTTGGTGGTATCGGTTGACTGAAGAAGAGGTTCATCTGGTTTAGTTAAGTTGATCATTCTGTTTTATGACAGCTTTTTTGATCCTTGAATTTCAGATAATGTTTTCCTGGTCTTTTTCGTATCACCTTTTATGTCATGAAATCTGTTTTCATAATAGTTTTTTTTGGACCTCCTTATTAGATTGGTTAGTACTGATGAGTAATGTTTGTGAGATCCTTTGTTATTAGACCCATTCTGTACTGTTTTTCATACAGATGTTTTTTATCAATAGATTTGAGGATGCTGTTTGTAAGTCAAGGGCTGTTTAGTCTCTTTGATGTGATCTGCTTAGTTTTTACTGGGCAATGCATGTTGTAGAGGTTTTGGGTTTTTTGTAAGAAAATACCAACACATTCATCAATATCAAAGTTGTCCGCTAGCTCGTTTTGCCTTGAAGTCAATGTCACTAAATGCTGAAATAAAGTTATTAACGGATGACTTGTCATGTAGTCGGAATGTGATCTTAGTTGTGTCCTGGGACACTTTACACAAGTTGGTTATGAGAAAGATGGGATAGCAGTCAGTGGTGATATCTGTGATTATGCCTGCTTTTAATGGGGACATAG